GTAGTAGTTGTTAACGATCTTTTGTATTTCCGTGGTGTTGGTTGTTACTTCTCCTCTTTCATTTCTGATTTTGTGTATTTGGGTTCTCTCTCTTTGTTTCTTGGTGAGTCTAGCTAAGGGTCCATCAATCTTGTTTATCTTTTCGAAAAACCAGCTCTTTGTTTCATTGATCCTTTGAATTGTTTTTTTGGTCTCTATGTCATTTATTTCTGCTCTGATCTTTACTATTTCCTTCCTTCTACTTGCTCTGGGGTTTTCTTTTTGTTTGCTTTCTAATTCTTTAAGTTGTGAGGTTAGACAGACAATTAGAAATTTTTCTTGTTTTTTGAGGTAGGCCTGTAGTGCTATGAACTTCCCTCTCAGAACTGCTTTCGTTGCATCCCATAGATTTTGTGTTGTGTGTTCATTTTCATTGGTTTCCAGGAAGTTTTTAATTTCTTCCTTGATCTCCTTGGTGACCCATTCATTGTTTAATAACATGCTATTTAGCCTCCATGTGTTGAAATGTCTTTGCATGTTCTTGTTGCAATTGATTTCTAGTTTCATGCCATTGTGATCTGAGAAGATGCTTGATATGATTTCAATCTTCTTGAACTTGTAGAGATTTAGTTTGTGTCCTATCATGTGGTCTATCTTTGAGAATGTCCCATGTGCACTTGAGAAGAATGTGTATTCTGTAGTTTTGGGGTGTAATTCTCTGTAGATATCTATTAAATCCATTTGGTCTAGTGCTTCATTTAGAGTCTCTGTTTCCCTGCTAATTTTTTTCCTAGAGGATCTATCCAGTGCTGTCAATGGGGTGTTGAAGTTCCCTGCTATGATTGTATTGTTGTCGATTTCTCCTTGGAAGTCCTCCAGAAGATTTTAATATATTTTGGTGCTCCTATATTGGGTGCATATATGTTTATCAAGGTTATATCTTCCTGTTGGATAGATCCTTTCAATATTATATAGTGGCCTTCTTTGTCTCTAGTTATGGTCTTCATTTTGAAATCTATTTTATCAGATATGAGAATTGCTACCCCAGCTTTTTTTTGCTTTCCATTTGCTTGAAAAATTTTTTTCCATCCCTTCACTTTCAACCTATGTGAGTCTTTTGTTGAGAGGTGGGTCTCTTGTAAACAACATATAGATGAGTCATGCTTTCTTATCCAATCAGCTACTCTGTGTCTTTTTATGGGAGCATTCAATCCATTTATGTTTAAGGTGATTATTGATATGTACTTATTTATTGCCATTTTTGTTTAGTGTGGTTCTATTTTTCTTCCCATTTCTACTGCTAATTACAGCAGTCCTTTTAACATTTCTTGCAGTGCTGGTTTGGTGCTAATGTATTCCCTTAGCCTTTTTTTTGTCTGGGAAGCTCTTTATTTGATCTTCTATTTTGAATGATAGCCTTGCGTAGAGTAGTCTTGGATTCAGATTCTTGTTTTTCATGACTTTGATTACTTCATGCCATTCTCTCTGGCCTGTAGTGTTTCTTGTGAGAAGTCAGTTGAGAGCCTTATGGGGTTCCCTTTGTAGGTAACCTGTTGCTTATCTCTTGCTGCTTTTAGGATTCTCTCTTTGTCTTTAATTTGTGGCATTTTAATTACTATGTGTCTTGGTGTGGGCCTGTTTGGGTTCTTCTTACTTGGGACTCTCTGTGCTTCTTGAACTTGAATGCCTTCTTCCTTCACCAAATTAGGGAAGTTTTCTCTCACTATTTTTTTGAATATATTCTCTATCCCTTGCTCATTTTCTTCTTCTTCGGGGACTCCTATGATGCGAATATTATTACGTTTCCAGTTGTCCCATAGTTCTCTTAAGCTGTCTTCCTGTTTTTTTAATAGTTTTTTCCTTTTGTTTTTCTGATTGGTTGATTTTTTCTACCCTGTCTTCTAATTCACTGATCCGGTCCTCAGCTTCCTCTACTCTGCTTTTTAAACCTTCCAATGTGTTTTTCATTTCTGATATGTCATTTTTTTTTTTTAATCCTCACCCGAGGATATTTTTCCATTTTTTGTACAGATAGAGTGGGAGGGAGAGAGAGGAAGAGAGAGAGAGTGAGAGAAACATCGACGTGAAGGGACACATCGAGTGGCTGCCATCCGCACGACCAACCAGGGCCGGGGACAAACTGCAACCGAAGTACGTGCCCTGAGCGGGAACCGAACCCGGGTCTCTCCGGACCGCAGGCGGACGCTCTAACCGCTGAGCCAAACCGGCCAGGGCTGATATGTCATTTTTTATCTCTTCTTGTTGGTTTTTAATTTCCAATTGGCTTATTTTCAGTGTCTCTATGTCCTTACTCATGCTGTTCAGCTTCCTCAAGATCATGGCTCTGAATTCTAGCTCTGTTAACATGCCTAATTGCTCCACATTGATCTCATCTTCGGTGGAGGTCTCTTGCTCTTTCATTTGGCTTCTGTTTCTGTGTTTCACCATTTTGGCTATCACTGTGGGCTTTGGAGCCTGTCAAGTTCTCCCTGTGGGTGTTGGTGCTCTGCTGTTTGTCGCTCCCTCTCCTGTGTTTAGATGAGGGAGGGAGGACCCACGTTGAACACCACTGTCAAGTCTTACTTTCCTGGTTAAAGTTGCCAGCCCAGGAAAGGTACTGTTTTCCTCTAGCTTTTTGCCTGGAGGCTAGCAGTCCAGGTTACTTGATGAGTTTTGGGTTGTCAGTTGATTGAAAAACTCCCTCTGGTGCTTAGCCAAGGGGCTTTCATGAGGGTGGGGCAGATGCTGGTTGTTAGTGAGCCTCAATTAGCACTTCAGTGGCCCACAGGGTGGGGTTGGATCTCTGAGGGAGGGGCCACTGCGTCTCCCCAGAACCCTGGGAAGGAGCAATGTGGCCACCGTCCTGGGTGGCAGCAACTCAGCCAAAGCTCTGAGCGCCCTCCAAACCCCGAGTGTCCCGACGCAGTTCCAGTCCAGTCCGCCCTCCCTCTGCCGGAGCCCAAGGTGAGTGGCTGTGGCTGTTTCAGCCTCTGTCCCGGCTGCGCTGTGGAGCCGCCTGGGAGTGTGACCCGAGGGCGCTGCTCCCAGCTAAGGCCGCTGCCGAGCTGCCGACCGTGGGCTCCCAGCCCCCGTCTGCGCCTTCGCAAGCCTACCGGGATGGAGTCAGTGTCCCTCGTTGTATGGTCCTCCAAGGTGCTTTTCTGTTGGTTTTTCCCGTTGATTTGTCTGTGTTATAGTTGTAATTTCAGTTTGGTTCTGGGAGACGGTCTGTGTAGCTCCGTTCACTCCGCCGCCATTTTTCGGTCACTCATTTATTATTTTTTATGTACCTATCCGTTGCTAGGTGCATACCCAATGGATGGGTACATCATCCATCCACCAATTTATCCACCCATCCATTTATCCACCCACCCATTGATCATCCATCCATCATCTATCCATTTATTAGTCTTCCTTACTTCCTTCCATCCATCCATCCATCCATCCATCCATCCATCCATCCATCCAATTATCTGGACTGACTTTCTTTTCTTTTTCCTACCCTCTGTTCCTTTCCCTCTTCCCTCATCTCTTTCCTATCTTCCAATAAATATTTATTTAGAACCTGCTATGTATGAGGTTTCTTAGATTTGGCAGAGTTCTCTGAAACATGAGAAGCTGCCCAGAAGAAATCTTAGTCCCTCACTGAGCCCCAGATCAGTTTCTCTCTGTGCTGAGGAACTACTACCTATGACAGAACAGTTCCTGGTCTGATGTCGCGGAGCCTCCCCAGGCTGAGAAACCCACAAGTGTAGGAAGTAGGGAGGAGAACTCGAGTCTTACATTTACATTTTGCATCTCCAAGCCCCATTTTATGAAGGAATACGGTATCACCTAAGATGTCTTAATAACAGAAACTAGAATATTTAATTGCAGGGGTTTCTTTACTGGTGTCCCTGTTTCCAGGCTGCTTCTCACCATGACCAGAGTGATCTTTTTACAACACCCCCATCCTTGTCTCTCTCCTACCTGAAGTCCTTCTTTGGCTCCATATCACCCATAAGCCAGAGTTCAAGCCTCTTAACACAATCCAGAAGGACCTGTGTGATCTGAGCTGAGGTGCCTCTTTAGCCTCTTGCCCTCCCCGCTCTGTCATATGCTTCACACCCCGACACCATCAAACCACGTACAGTTTGCCAGGCACTCCATGCTGTCTTATGCCCCTATACTTTTAAATATGCCAATCCCGCCCTGGCCTGTTTGGCTCAGCGGTTTGAGTGTTTTCCCATGGACCAAAGAGTCGTGGGTTCATTCCAGTCAAGGGCATGTACCTTGGTTGAGGTTCAGTCCCTGGTCCTTGTTGGGGTCATGTGGGAGGCAACCAGTCGATGTGTGTCTCTCACATCGAAGTTTCTCTTTCTCTCTCTCTCTCCCCCCCTCCCACTCTATCTGATAATAAATGGGAAAAAATATCCTTGGGTGAGGATTAAAATAATAATAATAATAATAATAATAATAATAATAATAACAACAATAAATATGGCAATCCCTCTACCTGAAATTTTTTACCATTACTCCATTCTCTGTAGTTCCTTTTAATTATGCATATTCTTCTATTGTTATAATCATCACCTTGTATTGTAATTTATTTGCTCAGATCTGTCTTTCCTTCCAGACTGTGAGGTGCTTGAATGTAAAGACTTGGAGTGATTCACCTTTGTGGCCCAGTATGTTGTGCCTGGTACTTAGAAGGCAGTCAGTATGTATCTGTGGGATGAATGGACGGGTGGATGGATGATGGATGAAGGGATTGAGGAAGTAGGATAGCCTTGGGACAAGGTGGTTAAAGTGTCCATGCAACAGATCTCCCAACGGAAGAGAAAAATGGCCTCTTTCTGGAAGCCCAGACCTTGGAGGAAAGCCCAGAGCCGTGACATAGGCCAGGCAAGGTATCTGAGCTAGGAATAGGGAACTTTGGGGTTACATGAACCTTTGTGGGACTCACTTCCCCTTTCCTCTAGATAAAGTTCCTGGGGAAGACCGCCAGCCAAGCACCTGGGCTGCAGCGGTGAGCGTGCAGGATGAAGACTGCAGAGAGCGAGGTCCCCGATGCTCACTTCACTGTGGATAAACAGAACATCTCCCTCTGGCCCCGAGGCAAGCGCCGGTCCCTGCTCGGAGCCTGCTCAATGCTCTGTGCCCAAACCCGTGTTTTCTGGTCCTTCAACAAATGTTCTCTTCTTCTTCTTCCAACAGAACCTCCTCCCACGATGGGATCACCTCTCATTCTGAGGAAGCCTCGCGTGGTCCAGGCTGCAGTCGTCATCCTGACGCTGGTCCTGCTGGCCTCTGTCCTGCTGCAGGCCATTCTCTGTGAGTCCTCTGGCTTAATCACATGGGCCTGCTCCTTCTCCAGGGCCAGTCACCTCCGCAGCACCCAGCCCTCTCTTTCCTGCTCTCCAGTGGCCTCTCCTGCCTGTGGCTTCTCCACTCGCCTCATTTCATTTGCCTCTTTCCATGTGCAGTCACAGGGACCTGTCTCCAGGAAAACCAGCTGCCGCTCGTTCCTTCCCAATTCCGGGGTGATTTTTCCGAAAGGGATCAGCACTTGCATGTTTGTGCTCAAGATACACACTTTTGTTCCCAGGAAATGTTCCCCTATTTCTTTATCCCATGTCATTTTTCTCCTCCCTCCCTGAACTCTGTGTCCCTTCGATCCAGAGCCTGTGGGAAGCCCCCAACCGTGAGAGAGGTGTTTCTGACGTACAAGGAACAACTGTAGCTTCGGCTTCAGCTGGCTCGCTGGAGAACCTGGTCAACAAGCCAACACGTCTCCAGGGTTCCTCCCCTCCCCAGGACTCCTTGGTGTTCTCATCATTTTTTTGTTCCCACGAAGATCATGTCCAGGGAGCCTTCCTACCTCTTCACTGGATGTGCGACTTACCTTTCTTCTGCTCCCAGCATTGCTGTGGCCCAGGGCCCCTGCTGCTGGCGGAGCCTCCTCCGTCCACCAGCTCCACAGAAAGCAGGGAGAGGGAGCGCTTCTCCCTTCATGGCCTCGGGACGTATTTGATCTCAGACTTGCAACCTCTGGTCAGGGTCTCCTGTGCTTGGAGCCCTCTGGGTTTAATTTGGTCTCTCTGGCACCAAACCTGTGGCCCGATCAGAGTGTGATAGTGGGAGGGATAAGGGAAGGGGAGAAATGGTTGCTCAATTCTCCCTTTCATGTTCTTTGGAGAAGTCACTTCCAGATTAGAAGTCTGCAAGGCCAGCTCTTCCCGTGGTCACGAAGGGCCCGTGGACAGATGTGGGACAGCTGGCCCTGCCCTTGCGGATGGCCACTGCAGGAATCTCTGAAAAGAGGGGGCTGGGAACCAAGTGATAGGGCCCAGAGGGATGTGAGGAGTGTGCCAAAGGGGCAGTCAAGGGCATTTCTTTACCAAATGTGCCCTGACCACTCAAAAAAAATTTAGGACTGGGTTCTAATCCCTGTTTCTGTTTGCCTGTGAGGTCTTCTAACAGAGAACCTGTTTATCAATCTTTGCGTTACTGCATCTACCAGAGTTCCTGGCACATGCTAGTTGCCATCACTTGTTTGTTGAGGAAATAGATTATGAACATAGGATAGGCAACAGCTCCTTGGGTCGGGTCCTTGGGAAACTTGTGTCTGTTCCTTTCCTCCCCTTCCCTCCTTTTTATCACTCTGATACCACCGCCACTCCCATCCTGAGGGATCCCCTTGACTGACCTCTTGACTTTCTCAAATCCAGATCCCTGGTTTATGGGCACACTATCTGATGTAAAGACCAATGCCCAGATGCTGAAAGGTCGTGTGGACAACATCAGCACCCTGAGCTCTGAAATTAAGAGGAACAGAGGTGGTGTGGAGGCAGCTGGCATCCAGGTCCAAGCGTTGAACACCAGCCTGAATCGTGTGCGTTCTCAGATGCGGAGGCTGGAATTTGGTGTGAAGCAAGCTGATGCGCAGATCCAGACATTAACAAGAAGTTGGGAGGAAGTAGATAATTTAAATGCCCACATCCCAGAGTTAAAAAGAGATTTGGACAAAGCCAGTGCTTTAAATGCAAAGATCCAGGGACTCCAGAGCAATTTGGAGAGTATCGGCAAGGCGCTCAAAAAGCAAAGTAAGTGACTCAGAAAAGAATACTGCAAGCTGGTCAGTGGCCGGTGAGACCTTGCTGGTCCCAGGCCTGAGGCCGTTGGGTGGTGTGTGTGGAGGGAAGTGGGAGAGGAGAGGGGCAGGCACGGCTGGGAAGCTCAGAGGGGCTTGGCATTGGGGGTGGGAAGACCTAGGGGTTTTTCTAAAAAAAAAAGGACCAGGAACCAGCTTGGGCTCCCACACAAAGGCACAGAATATGACAGCATTAGGAAGCCTCTGTCCTGGCCCAAACCTACCATTTCCCATTACCTTTCTTACCTAGAGCCCAGGGTCCCAGCCACTTGTGATGGCCAGTGGAAAACTGCTTCTCTCTCATGACCATATTCTTGATCTGTCCTCGTTCACTTTCCCCTCTCTGAGCCCAGGGACTCTACTAATCTCAGTCAGACTTTCAGGATCTGAGTGTCCCCAAACTCCTACACAAACACCCAAGGACCCCAGAGCCCAGCCCGTTCACTGCTATCTCTGGGCTCCCACTCAAGTGCCCGCACCTGGTCAGCACCAGAGGAAGCAGGAACACCAGTGTTCACCTTCCACCCTTCTTCACCAGATGACATTCTGCAGACAGTTTCTCAAGGCTGGAAGTACTTCAGCGGGAACTTCTATTACTTTTCTCGTGTGCCAAAGACCTGGTACAGTGCTCAGCAGTTCTGCAGGTCCAGGAATTCGCACCTGACCTCGGTGACCTCAGTGAGTGAACAGGTGAGTGTTGTTCTGGGAAGGAGGTGTATTAGTAGCTGTATTAGGCAGGATGGGCGAGATTATGCTGCAGTGATAAAAATCCCCAAGTAGCAGTGACCTTGAAGGATTACTTCTCACCTATACTATGTGTCCAACAAGTGCTGACAAGGGGTTTTGCTCATTGTAATTACTCAAGGATCCAGGCCAAAGAAGACTTCAGGAAAAGGGAACATGACATATAGTGTTGGTTTTGGCTGGAATGAACAGACATCTCTACTTCTATTTTTTTTGCAAAGTGTATGATGTAATACTCCTAGATTCAAACAGGGCGGGGTGGTACCATCTTTCTGGGTGCCCAGAAAACAGAATTACTTGTAAATAGCATTAACGACACTACAGAACCCAAGAAGTCTCCTGCCTGATGAGGCAGAACATTGAACAAGCCCGTCCATCGGGGAGGTAGTAGTGCAAGTAAGAGTGTGGGCTCTAGGGTCAGCGTCTAGAGTCCCAGCCCTGCCTCTAACTAGTCCCAGATGAAACACAAGTAATGATAGTACTTGCCTCAGAAACAAAACAACACAAAAAACAATTAAGTGCATATAAATGTATAGTGCCTTGTATGTATTAAATGCTCGCTAAATTTAGATATTATTATTTGGGACATTCTCCTGGGGTCCCTGCTCTGGGGTTCAGCTGGTTCTATTTTGTGCTCCAGCACCTGCTTCTCAAGGGGGCAGAAAAGCCTGAGTCCCGAGTCTGTTAGTTGCAAATCGGAATTTGGAAGATGGACTCTGGGCTCTGAGCAGCGACAGGAAGGGGCTTGAGAAAGATTCGTGTGCATGGAGTGTCTGTGGGTTCAGAGGCTGTCACCAGGGACAGGTGAAGAACACCCAGAGCGACAGATGCTAACTCTGAGTGACGGCAGCGTCTCCGCTCATTCTGTCTTCCCTACAGGAGTTTCTGTACAGGATGGCAGGTGGACTTACCCACTGGATCGGCCTGACCAAAGCAGGGAGTGAGGGCCACTGGTACTGGGTGGACGACACTCCATTCGACAAGGTCCAGAGTATGAGGTAAGGCCCCCAGAGCCCTCCTTCCCAGCCTGACTTTTTGGGTCAGGGGTGATATCTCCTCCTGACTACAGGTTGGCGATTCTTCCGTGTCCACAAACTGGCTGTGGGATCGGGGACGAATCCATGGCCTCTGTACCTCCTGGGGTTTGGCAGCGTGGCCGTCCGGCCAGCTCTGGCTGCCGTTTGCTCTTCCTCTGGGGGTCGTACTGCGAGTTTGTGTGGAGCCTTCAGGGAGGCGGGTGGGTTTGGTCCTAATTTGGGGGTGACTGCAGGCTTAGAGGCTGACAGCTCACTGATTCTCTCTCTCAGGCTAGGGTGCAAACGCTTGTGACGTTATCACCTGGGACTAAAGCTGAGATTGAAGGTATTCATTTCACCACTGGAAATATGTTTTATTTGTTTTTTCCCTTTGGTAGGTTCTGGATTCCAGGTGAGCCCAACAATGCTAGGAACAATGAACACTGTGTCAATATAAAGGCGTCCTCGCTTCAGTCATGGAATGATGCCTCCTGTGACAACACCTTCCTTTTCATCTGTAAACGTCCCTACATTCCGTCAGAACCTTGACAGGACCGGCCCCCAAGCAGGCACTTCGAGCGCCAGTGCCGGTCCAACTGCAGGAAGGGCCGCTTCGTCCTCTTCGCTCAGGGTGACTTTGCACCTTAATTTTCCTTGCTTCAAAATGGTCCCAGGGCATCTGGGGTCCATCTGCCTCGGCTGGAAGTTCTGCGACCCCATAGAGGGAGCTGGAATGGAAAGAAAGCTCTTGGGTTAAATAGGAGGGGGTGGTGGAGGGGAATTAGACATTCAAACGGCCTCGTTAGGTACATCAGGACCCATAATTTGGGTCAACACCCTGGGGGTTTTGCCAAGATCGAGGTGCTGCTGCTATTGGGGTGTCACTTGGCTTCTTGGCTGAGTGGGATAACGAATATGTGCAGACCTAAATGTCTGTGAAAAGAACATCATGCCTGCAGTGAGGTGACAGGGCTCGAGGGAGGTAAGGCCAGAGGCGGCAGAGCCGCTGGAAGGCTGAGGGCTTCCGAAAAACCTTCGTTTTATCACCTGAAACTTGCCTCAGACACCCAAGCAGTTCCCCTGATACTGTTACCCAGCGCTTTTCCAGTTGACCCCCCAGATTCCCAGCTGCCTGCTGAGACGGCTGTGTTCTCTGGGAAGAACCCTGCTCTTGGTGATCCTGTGCCTGCCCCATCCTCCTCCTCATCCACATCCTCTGTGGTCTGAACCCTTCTTCCCAGGGACAGGCTCAACTGTCAGACCAGAGGCTGACGCAGAAACAGGTGTCCGTTGGAGCTGGATCAGCACCCACTGGTCCCTCCCCTCCCCCTTGCTCGGTAAACTCTGAGGCCCAACCCCTCTGCCTCCAGAGGGCACCTCCTCCCTCCCTGCCCCTGCAGAGGGAGTGGCCCTCAGCACCTGGAGCGTCACCTCCAAGCTTCATGGGAATAAAATGCTGCCTGGGTGAAGGCCCCCTCTGTGTGCTCGTTTTATTCCTGGGGGTACAGGTGAATGTGCAGGAGAGGCCATCTGCTTTGCTAGATGGGAAGTTTGGGGCATCCTCATAACCAGCCGAGGGTTCAAAACGAACCAGGGGTAAGGAAATTCCAGCTCCGGAAAAGCCACAGAAGACGAGCGGTGCTTACCCCTGGCTTCGTCACGGCTTTCTTGGCGGTCCCTGCTCTCGGGTTCACTGCTTTACTCCCAAGGGGGAGACTCCTCAGGTTTCTCAGAGTCGCTGTTCACAGGAACCGGTCCAAGTCCCAGGCCTGTCCCAGCACTGGACAGGAGGGAGCAGAGTGGAAGCAGGAAGGGGCGCAGTGTGTGCTCAGGGCTGGGCCACTCCGCTGAGCCACTCAGGGGCTTAGGGCCCAACAGAGGGGACATCTTTCTTCAATGGAATGGGCTGTCTTCCAGCTTGTGGACTTCTCGTTGTGGCCTCAGATGGTGGGAGGGGCAAGCAAGTATCAGGATGCTAATCCCCTTCAGGAGAATACCACCCTCATCACCTCCCAGAGGCCCCACTCCCTAATACTGTCAGACTGAGGGTTAGGACTTCAGCATATGCATTTGGAGGCAGATCCCAGTGTTCAGATCACAGCAGTCCCCGTGCGCAGCCCTCACCCAGGGAGGAGGATGTATCTATAGACACTACTTGGAATTTTTCTGTATGAGAGATTTATCTATTTATTTATTTAAACATTTATTTGTTTTGACATATTTTCATCATTTAAAAACAAAAACAGAAAAACATCCCTTTACTTGCTGAGCGTACAAGATACTCCAGGCTCATTTTGTAGATTTCCTGCTCCCATCCTAGAATCAGACATTTCTCCAGAAGGCCCTGGGTTTTTTGTTTGTTTGTTTGTTTTTTAATGGTATTAGAAACCAAAATGTGGGTGCCTCTGCTACTGGGTGTTGCTGCTCCTTCTTGGCTGAGAGATCTAGGTAACACAGGTGTGCGTATCTAATTGTATTTTGCAAAGATCATTACGCCTGGAGTGTGGTGACAGGGCTTGAGGGAGGCAAGACGAGAGGCAGGAGAGCGGCTGGAAGACTGAGTCAGAGCAGGAGAGATGGTGGCCTGCACAGGGCCTGTGACGTGAGACAGTGCTGTTGTTGGACTCGGCATGGGTTTGCAAAGTTGGGGCATTTTGTGCAGCTGGATACAGGTGCTAACATCAGGCCACGAAGCTGCTTATCTCCAGCCCTGCCTTTGGTTTGGCCTTAGTACCAGGCAGGCTCGCCAGCGGTGGTCTTGGTGTCTGCAAGCCTACCCCCTCATGGCTCTGCACCTTCAGAGCACAGAGTGTCCCTTTTCCAATAGTTGCAACAAAAACCCAGCATTGGGTCACATGCTCGTCCCTGAAGTAATAAAGGAGGTCGGGGAGATGGTTATGTTGATGGAGCGACGAGCTCATTCCTGGGGCTGGGAGTTGGGTATGGTTCACCCTCGCCCCTGCCAGACAGACTGAGCATGCGAGGAGGTGGTTCTCAAGACAAATCCCAGGAGAGACGCCCGCAGAAGGGGGGCTGTCAGCTCTCAGCTGCTCAGGACTCCAGCCTGCCGGCTGTGGGTCTCTCCTTCCCACCAAAACTGCTGGATCTAGCCATGCTCTGCAAGACAGCTGACCCCCCTGTGTCTTTAGGGATTGATATGGGTGACTGAAGAACTTCTGGGGTCTGTATCTCTAGGAGCATGGCCCCGTACCCTTTACTTAGCAGGCAAAGGAAAAACCAATGTGTAAGAGGACCCGGCCGATGAGTGGTTCTGATATTAATGTATACAATGTCCATTTGATTTTTTACCACAGAACAGAGAGACCGCTTGGCAAGGATGCAGCAGCCTCCTAGCATTTCTTTTCTGCTGGCAGCAGGTGTTCTTGGGGGAGGAGTAAGTGCTGGGAGCAGGGAGTTGGGGGAATGGGGGCAGGAGGCAAGAGGACCTGCTGATCACGCCTCTGAGGCCATCGGGTCGGGGGACTGTGCCCTCTCCCGGCTTACACTCTTCCCTTCCACTGGGCAACCGCTCCCAAAGGGCCTGCTTTGAGCTCCCTCGGCTTCTCAGGTCCTAGGAGGAAGCAGCTCTGTGGGCCTGGCCTGGGGAAACAGAAACCAAAGCACACCCTTTCTTTTCTGCCACCACCCCCAGGCCTCTTATGGGCCTCTGGGGAGGTACCTCCCGAAGCTCCCCTCCCACAGGGAAAGGGACTTGGCAGGTACTCTGGGGTCTCAGGCAGAGCTGCTGACTGTTCCGGCAGTGGGCACCCTCACATTCCTCCTGCCCTTTCCTCCCAGGGCAGCTCTCATGGTCACACACACACACACTCACACACACCCTCACACACACCCTCACACACTCATTCACACACTCTCACACACACTCACTCACACCCTCACAACACCCTCACACACACTCACACACTCATTCACACACACTCACACACACCCTCACACACTCATTCACACACTCTCTCACACACACACACACTCACTCACACCCTCATAACACCCTCACACACACTCACACACTCATTCACACACACTCACACACACCCTCACACACTCATTCACACACTCTCTCACACACACACACCCTCACACACACCCTCACACACTCATTCACACACACACCCTCACACACACCCTCACACACTCATTCACACACTCACACACTCACTCACACACTCACAACACCCTCACACACCCTCACACACTCATTCACACACACACCCTCACACACTCACACACACTCACACTCACATTCACACACACTCTCACACTCACACACTCACACACACTCTCACACACTCACACACACTCTCACACTCATTCACACACACACACTCACACACACCCTCATTCACACACACACCTCTCACACACCCTCACACACTCATTCACACACTCACACACACTCACACACTCACTCACTCACACCCTCACAACACCCTCACACACACTCACACACTCATTCACACACACACCCTCACACACTCACTCACACTCACACACACTCTCACACACACACACTCTCACACACTCACTCACACACTCTCACACACTCACACACACTCTCACACTCACACACACGCACACACACAGCCATGGCCTCATGAACTGGGTGCAGGCAACCACTCTCTTCCTCACCTTGCAGGTCAGCCGTGTACCAGGCTGGTCGCTGGCTGAGCCGACAGTGGCCATCCATCCGTGACACAGGCTTCTGGATCGCTCTCCGGGCTCGGCCGCAGGAGGAGGCGCTTTCAGGATGGCTTCTCCGCCCCTGGAGAGGGCTGCCGGCTTCTCAGTCAGCGCTCAGGGACCTGTGGGGGCCGACTCCAGGATCTGGGGAAAAACCATGGGAACAGTACCTAGGAACTGAAGGTGAAAACAGGAAAAAGCAACAACACAACATGGGTAGAACAAGCCACCTGCAAGGTCGCAACTGACATCTTGTAAATGGGTTGCTGGTGAGATAGAAAGACGTGTAATTAGATTTTAAAAAAATCTTTATTGATTTTAAAGAGAGAGAAAGGGAGAAGTAGGGAGAGATAGAAACATCGATGAGAGAGAACATTGATTGACTGCCTCCTGCATGACCCCCACTGGGGATCGGGCCCACAACCTGGGCATGTGCCCTGACCGGGAATTGGACTGGCGACCTCTTGGTGCATGGGTGGACACGCAACCACTGAGCCACACGGCTGGGCTGTAATTAGATTTTTATGAGTTAAAGAAAACATAATCTATTTTGATAAGATTGTAATTATCTGATGTAATGGGGGATCGAGGAACAAGAATCTGCTAGTATCCTCAGAACTAATTTTGGGAGAGGTGCCTTAACCAGCCAGTGGAAGTACTGATTCTATTTAGCTGGTTACCCCCTCGGCTAGCTGATGGGGATTTCGGGTTCGCACAGCTCCGGTGGGACACCTCACTTCCCTGTCTTCTTAGTCTAGGTCCACCAGCAGCAGGAACCCCCCGAAGCAGTATTTGTTCCTCCTGGAAGTTCTAGGTCTCATTGCAAATAGCACATTGACTTATCCAGTTCCTTCTGAGTTTGTCCCAACCGGATCAGCTCAGGGGCTCACAAAGCCAGTCAGCTAGGGGTGAGATCTTGGATCAAGGTGGGTCCTATTTGGTGTTTTCTGATATCACTTCTGACACCAGTCGTGCGGTGTTTTCCGACACCAGCTAAGTCTCTGACACCAGCTGTGTGTACTACAATGCAATTTAATTTTGACACTAACTCTGGGAGTTAGTACAGACCCCACAAGTTAAGGGCTTGGTCCTATAAGACCAGCCTGACCTCAGATGCCAACTGCATTTGGGGTCTCTAAGAAACCCACACTTCTGCGTGGCTGACTGAAAATCTGGGGGCTCCCATGACCCTCTCAGGTTCAATAATTCACTAGAATAACTCAGAACTCAGGAAAACACTATAGTTACTATTACAGTTTATGATAAAGGGTACAGACAAACAGACAAAGAGGTAGGGAGGGTGTGGTCGGGCAGGGTCCAGAGCACGAACGCCGCTGTCCCCGCGGAACCGGGGAACAGTACCCTCGTGGCACATGCATGTGCTCACCAACCAGGAAACCCCTTGAAGGCGCCGCGAATCTCTCTCGCTGTTGGTGAGCTTCTATAACTCCAGGCCCCCTCTCCCACCTGGAGGTTGGGGGTTGGGGTGGGATTGGAAAGCTGTGAGTTTGGTCTGTCTAGGGGTCCACTCTGAGTTACCTCATTAGCATAAACGTAAGTGTGGTTGAAAGGGGCTTGTTATGAATAACAAAAAACACTCCTATTACTAAGGAGATTTCAGAGGTTTTAGGAGCTCTGTTCCACGAACTGGAACAGAGACCAATATATTTTTTATTCTACCACAGACCCTTACCTGAGTGGCGAGGTCCTGAGTGGGCAGTGAGACCCCGAGAGGGTCTGGGACTAGGATTAAGTCAGCTGCTAGTCACAAGGGTTTTTTCTGCAAAGCCGAGAAGGAACCGCTGACCTCCTCCTAAATTGCTGGTGAAAGTGTTTGTGATCTGGGGGCAGAGGCAGTGTTTGGAGCTCTGCCGGGGTGCAGATGTTGGGGTGATGGGTCTGAGGCGGGCAAGGGTGGTGCTGACAGGAAGAGGAAGAGGATAGGGCCGGGAAGACTGGTGCGGCGCTGGGGGAGGGGCCTGACGGGGGTGCTTCTGCAGGGCCAGGGAGGAGCAGGGCTTCGGTGTGGTCAGGACCTCCTCAGGGGCATAAGAGCCAGGTTACTGCAGCTTCCCTTCCACCACTGTGGTCCCCAGCACGAGTCTTCGGGGACTAAGGCAGGGAGCAGCCCTGGAAGATGAAGGCAGCAGAGATGAGTGGTGACCAGGTCCACTTCTGCACAGACAACCAGACTGTCTCCCTGCACCCTCAAGGTAAGAAAACGGGGCACGGCCCATCCCCAGTCAGGGACTGGCCTGCCTGTCCCCAGCCCCCCACCGTTTTTCTCAGCCCCACCTTGGCAGGCCAGAGCTCACTGGGCTCATCGCTGCCTCAGCCTCCAGAGCAAACAGGCAAGGGCAGAAGGTGGGTCGGGTGAGGACGGAGAGTCTGAGACACCTCGAGTCTGTATGGAATCTCCCCAGACCCTCGAGGATGGCAACCCGGCAAGAGGAAGGGTGAACTTTGAATTCAGAGAGACCTAGTTTTGAATCAGGGGCTCACCCCAGATTCCCAGGCACAGCCCTTCTTAGGACACCCACAAGGAGCCTCTGACCTCAGCTGAGGAAGTCTCCAGGATGGACCCAGGTCAATCTGTGGAGGAGGCAGCAGCCCCAAAGGCCTGCGAGTCTTGCTCTGGTCAGGATTCGGGAGCAAGACTGGTCAGGGTTCCTGCTCTGGCCCGCCCTCCCTCCCTCCCTCCCTCCCTCCCTCCCTCCCTCCCTCCCTCGCTTCCTCCCTGCCTCCCTCCCTCCCTCCCTTCCTCAAACCACACTTCTGTTGCCCTCCTCTTCGGGCCAGGCTCTGTGCCCTGCACACCTTCTCCAGCCTTTGTGTTGCTGCCATTCCCCGCAGTGAGCCCTGGTGAACTAGTCAAAGGGCTTCATTGCCTTCTCCGTGCTAAGTGTGGCAGGAATTCTCATCCCCACCGGACAGGCCAGGAGACTGAGCCCAAGGGGTTGGCTCTGCCCAGCTCGGACTCTCCTCCTGGACACTGACATCTCCCCACAGGCCTGGACTCCTCGGCTCCAGCAGCCCCTAAGTCACCAAGGCTGATTCAGGCCACCCTGATATTCATGGTCGTGGTCACCGTCATCTCTCTCACGGCCCTCTTTGTTGTGGGTAAGCTCCCGGGTCATCTGAATCCCACCGGCTCTCTCCCTTTCCTGCATAATAGCACCGACCAAGGGGCACCCCAAAAGCAGAGGCCCATGAGAGAAACTCTGAGGGGTACTTGGTGCCACCTCTCTCCTTCCAGAACCCTGACTCAGGGATGGGACAGCCTGTTCCCCAGGCTCAATGCTGAGGGGTTGTGCTGACCCAAGAATGGGGTGTCTCAGTTCTACAGAACTTAAGACCTGCGCTGGAGGCCTACGGCTACTCCCAGGAGCTCGCGGGAGACAACACTACTGGGCAGGGGCCTGCGGAACGTGACGGTGAGCAGCCACAGTGGGGCAGGTGGCTGGGAGGAAGCTGGGGTATTTCAGGCCAGACCCTAGGATGAGCTTCTCCCCTAACACTCCCATGTCCTTTATTAGTGTCGCTATCCTCACAGAAAGGCATGATTTTTTTTTTTTTAATTTAGAAAACAGCTTTATTGAGATATCACTGACACATAATAAAGTACACATATTTAAAGCATACACTCTAAGAACTTTTGGCATAGAAATATACCCGTGAAACCACCACCACAATCAAGATAATGAGCATGGTCATCATCCTCCCCCAAAGTTCCCTTGTGCCCTTGGCCATACTGCCCTCACCCTCCCTGCGTCCTCAAGCAACCACGGTCTTCTGGCTATAGTATCGTCACTTGGCCAGTTCTAGAGTTTTCTATAAAAGGGATCATATAGTGTGTACTTTTTGGGGTCCTTTATTAGTCATATGATTTGCAAATATTTTTCTCTCAGCCCATGGCTTGTCTTTTAATTCTCTTCACAAGATTTGAATTTTGGTAAAGTCTAATTTATCAAATTTTTCTTTTATGGGTCATGCTTTTGGTCTCATATCGGAGAAATCTTTGCCTATGCCAAAGGTCACAAAGACATTCTTGATGTTTTCCTCTGGAAATCTTATAGTTTTAGGTTTTACATTTAGGTCAATGATTAATTTTGAGTTAAATTTTGTATATGAGATTCATTTTTTTTATATGGATATTCAATTGTTTGAGCACCATTTGCTGAAAAGATTGTCCTTTCTCCATGAATTGCCTTTGTATCTTCATTGAAATCAATTGTTCATATATGTGTGAGTCTATTTCTGGATTCTCTATTCTATTCCATGGATCTATTTGTCTATCAGCATGACTCTTGATGTAGCTAGTTTACAGTAGGCAAGTATCTTAATCCCTCTGCCCCTCAGTTCATGTGGGGTAGGCCTTTATTTATTTCATTTTTGGGCCCACATTCTCAGGTGGCCCATCCCAAGGTCTCTGTGACTGCAGTGAGTAGCAGGCTGCTTGAGGAGCACTCAGGGTTGTGTCGCAGACATTCCCCTTGGAAATTTTAAGAACACTCTGGTTGGCTCCTATAATTAATGTTTCCCTGTGTAAGGGACCTCTTCGGCTGCCTTTTCCATCTCTTCCCTCCAGATCCCTACCACTTTGTCTGGGTGGCAGAGTTACAAGAGACCCTCCAGATGTTTAAAGACCATGTGGAGAACTCCAGCACCTGGAGCATGGAGGTGCAGACACTGATGTGCAGAGTGGACAATGTCAGTTCTCAGATCCAGGTGCTCGGGGGTCATCTGAAAGATGCCAGTGCTGACATCCAGATCGTAAAAGGCGTTGTAAATGATGCCAATGCCTTGCGCCTCCAGACCCAGATGTTAAAAAGTTCCTTGGAGGGGGCCAGTGCTGAGATCCAGAGACAAAAAGGAGATCTGGAAAAGGCAAATGCTTTAAATTCCCAGACCCAGAGTTTCTTAAAAACCAGTTTAGAAAACACCAGCATTGAGCTCCAAATATTGAGCAGAGGCTTAGAAAATACTAACGCGGAAATTCAGGTGTTGAAGGCAGGGTTGGAAATGGCAAATGCCCAGGCCCAGTTGGCAAACAGCAGTTTACAGAACGTTAATGCGCAGATTCTTGTTTTAAGAGGCAATCTGGATAGTGTCAGTGACTTAAGGGCTCAGAATCAGGTTTTAAGTAATAGTTTGCAAGAAACCAATGCTGAGATTCAGAAGCTAAAGGGAAGCCTGCAAAATGCAAATGATTTAAACTCCCAGACCCAGACCCTTATAAAAGACCGTTTAGACAACACCAGTGTTGAGATCCAGTTATTAAGAGGTCATCTGAAAAGGGCTGGTGATGAGATTAACTTGTTAAAAAGAGATTTGGAAACGACCACTGCCCAGACCCAAAGAGCGAACACTCGCCTGGAGCAGGCCAGTGCTCAGATCCAAGGATTAAAAACAGAGCTAGAGAACACCAATGTCTTACATGCCAACATCCAGATGATAAACGATCAGTTGAAAAATGCCAGCAAAGAGATACAGATCCTAAAACAAGGACTGAAGGATGCCGTGGCCTTAAAATCCAAGACCCAGATGCTGGAGAGCAATCTGCAGAAGGCCGGTGCTGAGGTCCAGAGGTTGAAAGGGGATTTAGAGAGCACTAAGACACTGACCTCAAACATCCAGGAGAAGCAGAATAGCCTGGAGACCCTCCGTGCAGCCTTTGCTTCGCAGGAGCAGCTACAGAAGTCCCAAAGTAAGTGCGAGGGAGGGGTTGGCCTGGGGAAGGTACAGTCTCTTGGGAGGGTGGAGTCTCCTGTCCCTTTGGCTTTGGCTTGCTTCACCAGGCACCCCTCTGGGCAGGAGTGTAGGTGCTGGGAAGGGGTCAAATCCAACCAAACAGGCTCGATGTGCCCAGGCAGTGGTGGAGGTGGCGTAGGCAGCAGAATCCCTGCTCTCCAGTTGCTTATCATCTGGTCAGACTGATACTTGGGAAACAAACCGGGTATGGTGACAGTGTGTAAAGACGGTGGGTGCTAGTGGGGCCAGACAGTCTTATTTCTGACTTCCTGCTGTCACAATGGGGCAATGGAGTGAAGGTGGGGTGGGGGTTGCGTGAGATAAAATGCTTCATGAGAAGAAGGCTGAGGGTGGAGGCAGGAAGTCAACCTCCAGGTGGCCAGGAGGGAAAGGTATTTTTGAAGGAGACTGGGGAAGGTATTCTTAGAGGCAGGAGAGGATTAGTTAGGGAGGCCAAGGAAGGACAACATTTCAAGAAGGGGCGCGGCTAGTCCTGGCAAGTGCCTTGGAGAAGCCAGGTAAAGTAACGAATAAACATCCACCGAGCCTGGCGAATTAGGAAGTCAATGGGATGAAGTTTCAGTGGAGAGTTGATGTGGCCTGGAGGCCAGACCACGGCCAGCAGGGTGTGCATGAAAGAGAAGCTGCACAAGTCATTCAAGGAGCTTGGCTGAAGAGAAGAGAGATGAGGTCAAGGCGACGGGGATGACAGGGTAGATAAAGGGATTAAAACATATAAATATCATTGATATTTACATTACAAAACCTACATATTAATTATAGGCAATGTGGTAAATATTCAAAGAGAGAAAGATGAGAAAATAACCAGTTGCATTTCCATGAAATGTTTCTATTTTTCATATGAGCCCATTACTGACATTTTGGTGAACTTCCTTGAGAGGGCTTTTCTAGATTAGGATAGGCTTGATCTGATGGGAGAAAAAGGAACCTTCCAGGCTTCCCCTTGCTCACGGGACACATTCCAAACTCCTTCGCAAAGGACATACTAGTGTTGGTGAACCTGTCCACGTTGGTCTCCTGTCCCTCACCAAATGCTCGTCATGCCATGCTGTTTCACACCTTCACGTTTTTGCGTCTAGTCACTCTTTCCCCTGCCTGGAATGCACCCCTTGGCCCTGACCACCTGGCAAACTGTTCCTCAGACTTTTAAGACTCAGCTCAAGTGAGCTCTCACATTGGATGTCGTCCCTGAGCCCCAAGTACAGCCCAGGTGAAATAGACCATACTCTCGTTCCTGCCTCTACTGGAATATGCACATGGCTTTCAATTGATGCATCTCCAATACCTATCGCACTTACTGGACTGCATGAATCATGTCTTATTAATCTTTGTATAATAGTCTCTAGTTCATAGAAGTTAAGAAATGTTGAACAAAGGAATAACCAGATGAATAAGAGGGTCTGTGTGGCACCATTTCAAACAGCTGTGGTGTAGTTGATGTTAAGGAGCATAGTGTCATGGCTGGGAGGGACAAAAGAGCTGAGAGATTCGAGGTTTGAGCTAATTGAAACTGTGAGGTCAGGCAGACCAGGTGACGACAAGGTTCCAGGTATGGTCCTGGGTGTGGGTGGCTGAAGTGGATGGAGAGGAAGTCAATAAAATGAATGACGCCATGGAGAAGCTATGAAATCTCCCCACAGGGAGATGACAGGAATTGAGATGCAGAGGACTGTCAGGTGATAGCGATGAGTTGGGAAACAGGGTAGTAGAGCCAGAAGCAAGAGTCTGCAAAGCTGACTGAGGATGATAGAGCCAGGAGTTCTGGGCTGCAGCGTGCTGGTATATTGGGTAGTAGGCTGGAGGTGCAGCCTCCCGGGCCTTGCCCCTGAGGCACTGGGCAACAAGTATTGCACGGGTTTGTGACTCTCAGTGGTCAGTCCCTGGAGAGGTCAGGAAGGCCAGCTCTTGGGCATGTACAGCTAGCCCCTTATTCTCTCTCCTCCCTGACCTTTGCCCCAGATGAACTTCTCCGGCTGATCCTGCAAGGCTGGAAGGCCTACGGCGGGAACCTGTATTACTTTTCTCATGTCAAGAAGTCTTGGCATGAGGCTGAGCAGTTCTGTGTGTCCCAGGGAGCCCACCTGGCCTCGGTGACCTCTGCAGAGGAGCAGGTCAGAGCTTTGGGCTTGGGGTGGTGCTGAAGGGGTGGGTGTGGGATAAGGGATTTTTTGCTTTGGCTTTGCCCCTCTCAGAGCAGGTATGGCAGAAACTTTCATGTCACCTCATTAGTCAGGGAGCAAATATTTATTGAGTTCTAGTGAGCATCTTGCACTGGAGGTAGAAACATTGACAGCAAACCCCAGTGTCCTCAGTGAATGAGGGTGACACACAGAGAACCACAGATGTCAGCAGTGAGGAAAGGCAAAGGGAAGTGACACCAGGTGACTGCCCTGAGAGTGTTGGAAACATACTTCCTTCCCCATCCCCTCATTTAGCCCCTCAGCTTCCTCTCAGGTTGTCAATCTTGATTTTAACATCAGTTAATCCCATGGCTCTGGGGAGCTCATGAGCAGGAGACCCAGGCCTCTTGGCAAGGCCAGATACACACATGGAAGTTTGAGGACCACCAAAGGCATTAGAGTCTCTGGGTGTCCCATCTGCCAAAGGTACTTATCAGACTTTACTAGGGTTACTGACAAAGGACCATAGTAGGTTTGGCCCAATTCAATTGACAGAACTGCCCATCCTTGTGGTTCTCCTGACTGTTCTTGTATATCTGTCCAAGGGCATGCTATTTTGTAAAACAAAACTTCTTCATAAACTGTGGCCAGGTCTCCCCCCCTCCTCTGTTGCCAGGTCTCTTGGTTTTTTTGTTTGTTTTGTAGCCAGGTCTCTGTCTCAGTAAAGCCACACCCCACATCAAGTCAACATGGGAGAAGCTGAACTTCCTTTGAGGGGACCTGGCTGCTGCCCTAGGTCCTGGACAAACCATGGGAGGCACGGTCAAAGAAGTGGGCTGCATGCCCCGGGTCCAGGAGGGGATGACCTGGACATCTCCTCTACATGGCTGGGAGAGCCAGATCCTCACTCAGGGTCAAACAGCACGGTCTTTTCTTTACAGTCGTATCTGGCAGAATTCACAAGCACCTCCGACCACTGGATTGGCCTCAATGACAGGGACAGAGAGAACTCTTGGAAGTGGACAGATGGGACACCATTCAATTCTGCTGGCAGCAATGTGTGAGTCCAGCCACTGTCTGGTGTTGTCCCTGGCACTGTCTTGGGCAGGCCTGGTTAGAGACTGTCTGGCCTCTGTGCGTATGCCTGCCCAGTGAGTGTGTGTTGTGTGTGTGATATGTGCATGATGTGTGCATGATTGTGTATAATGCATGTGTAATGTGTTTGTGCATGTGTGATATGTATGATGTGTATGGTGTGTGTGTGTACACATGGAAATATCTGTGATCTTTGCCTGGACCCTTTCACATGACATAACCTAGGGCTGGCAGGCAGCCCATGAGAAGATCTCCCTGTTTTTTGTTGTTGTTGTTGTTGTTTGTTTGTTTGTTTGTTTTTGCCTGTCTATGCCCTACATAGGCCTGGTCCCAAGAGGTCCTGCCCCCATCACCAGGCATCTGAATTCTGGGGTGTGAATGTGAATAAGCTTCAGACATCTTTTCTGTCCCTCGATCTTCAGTGACTAAGGTCAACCTCAGCAAAGCTACCTTCATGGCAACTCTGGCCCCAGCTTTGTTCTCATCCAGGGGCCACCAGGGAATTAGGGACCCATGTCACTTCAGCTCCTTATACCACAGGGGAGTGCGGGGGGAAGGACCCTTCTTTCATCTAGCAGAACAAAGCCTTCTTCCTCCAGGTTTTGGTATGATAATCAGCCGGACAACTGGAGGCACAGAGACGGGCAGGACGAAGATTGCGTTCATATGCAGCGGAAGTGGAACGACAACAACTGTAATATCCGCTATCTGTGGGTTTGCAAGAAGCCCGTGAGTCAGGATGTGGCCTGAAGTCGGCCAGAGGTGAGAGGTCCCAGCCACCGCCAGCTCTGGACCCTTTCTACCATGTCTTGTGAGCCTCTGAACCCAACTTGTTCTCTGGGATCTTCCATTTAGCCTTTTGTGTTTCCTGCCCTGTCCTTTTATTTAACCCTTCAAACATGTTTGCCCTATGGGATCAAGAGTTTCTCAAGGCAAGAGCCTTCCTGTGCTCCTGTATCCCCTCGGCAAGCAGCCCAGGCCTGTCAGACAGAGGGTCTTCAATAAACACTTGGGTGAACAAAAGCTTTGTGCTTGTGTCTGCGGCAGCCGCCACATGCTCTTCTCCCCGAACTGACTCTTTTCCCTCAGTATCTCTTTTGTCCTGAAACAAGTGGATCCTTGTTTCAGACTTCATAGCTAGGGAACGTTTAGTTAGTTTGTTGAAAAAACAGCAGAGGTTTAACACAAACGACAGGGACACTATAGAGGGCTCAAGCTACCAGGAAGTCATAACCGTCCCGGGTATTCCCTGCATTTCCTTTGTTGCAAATGGGTTGGAGCAGGCTTTGTCCAGGCCTTTCAACCACTCCAGAAACTTAGTTCTCTCTTGTGGCTGGTCTCGTCTGTCTTCAGACTGTTAATTCTCAGAGCCATTCGCCCTGCCAGGGGCTCAGCTTCTGCCAGCTCAGTTTAGAACAAGAATTTCTAGAGCAATTCTTTGCCCTGTCTTGTGGCATCCTCTCTCATGCATGCACCAGGGACCTGAGGATTTCTGGAACTCTTTCACTGCATAGTTCCCCCTACTGCTCCCCAAATTCAAGCAGTCTCTGCCTCCCCAAACTCCCATCTGCCTCTCTCTAGCTTAGTGAGACTGTCATGACCATGTGGGGCCCTCTTCCCTGCACTGTGGTCTGAAAAGATCTTCCGGAAGCAACCCAGGGGGGTCACGGGCTCATCTGGCCTGCTTTCCTATCCAGGAACTCCAATCGTAGTTTTATCTATTGTCCAATGTCTGAAAACAAGTTTTTTTCAGGTATTTTTTCCAATTTTCTAGTTGCTTATAGCAAAAGGGCTGGTCCAGTTACTTCATTATGATCAGAAATGTAAATCTCTTCTATCTTTTATGATATCTTTGGTTGAACGAGACTTTAATCTGTGTGTATCCATATTTTCTTTTTGGCTTTTCCTTTGGCCTTTTCTTTCATGGCTTCATAGCTTTTTATTAATCTTAGAAACTCCTCCTCTATCCTAGGATTGAAATAACATTTTGCTATTTTTCTTCTAGTACTTTTAAAGAGTATATATTTTCTTTATTGATTTGAGAGAGAGAGAGAGAGGAGAGAGAGAGAAACATCAATAAGAGAGAACATTGATTGGCCACCTCCTGCATGCCCCCCCTTGTGGATCGAGCCCACAACCTGGACATGTGCCCTGACCGGGAATCGAACTGGTGACCTCTTGGTGCATGGGTCGACACGCAACCAGTGAGCCACACCAGTCGGGCTCTTCTAGAACTTTTATATAGATCTATTTTTTACATTTACATTACTAAGCTATCTGGAATTTTCTCAAATATCATTAAACCATAACATACTCTTTTTATTCACTTGAAAAGCCAGCTTTTTCAAATACTAAATTCACAAGTTTAAATGCAATTAAATTAATTCTTGATTGCATTTTAATGAGTTCCTTTTTTCTTTATGGAAAACACATTGTTTTAATTATTGTAGTTTTAGAATATGTTTGGTTATCCAGTAGGGCAAGTCTCCCTTTAACACTTTCAAGAAGTTTTAGATATTTGTGGGACAAGCAGTGGTGGGTTCTACTGAAGGGCATTAAGAGGCTAGCTGAATTTTTCATCAGAGCACCCCTGCCTTTCTGAGCCTAGTTCCTCCAAGTGAGAGAGGATAATAAGAAGCTAGGGAGAGTCCTTGACAAGTGGAATAAGGGAAACTGAGACAATATCATGAAACAAGGCCAAACAATCTGAGCAATTTACAGCCAGCTAATGAATCACAAGATTTTGTCTTCCCTAACCAAGGACACTAGGAGCAAATGGTTTACATATTCCAGACCTTCCTGGGACAGAATGGCCTCGATCCTGGTCCCTGTTCAATGACGTTCTTGATACTGTTCTTTAAAAATTAAATTAACCAGAAAATAACCCCTGACTCCTTTATATGCACATTTTTTTTCTTAAATCCTCACCCAAGGATATTTTTCCATTTATCTTCAGATAGAGTAGGATGGACAGAGAGAGGAAAAAAATATCAATGTGAGAGACACACATCCATAGCCACCGCCCGCAAGACCCTGACCAGGGCTGGGGACCAAACTGCTGTGCAGACCTCTCTGGATATAAACCGCCCTTCTGCAGTGTGGGCAATGGGTGTTGCTGGTTTCAGAAGGTGGAGGAGCGGATGAGTAAGCCAGTTCTGTTTTCAGTCTGCCCTGCACCCCTGCCTTTAGAGGTAACGAGTGCTTCTGAGTTCTGAGTTTACCTGGTTGTCCTGATTTTTATTCACTACTGTGGTAGAGTTCCATTTTCTCAGTTCTCTGAGTCAGCCACCACTCACCCACCCACTGCCAGCTTCTAAATTTTGTTGAAATGTCTTGCCTACCACTGATTCTTCTCCCATTCTCTTTGTCATCATGCATTTTCTTTGTTTTTATTCTTTTACTATCATTATAGTAGATTTTTAGAGAAAACAGACACGAATGTGTACATTAAATCTACCTCTTTTAACTGGAAACATTATATTCTCTAATAAGATATTATGATATTAAGGATATAATATTTATTGTGTACTAACTATCTTATTGAACACATACATAAGGATTCTGATTAGTACTTACATTTTTTTTTTCTAGTTAATTGCATGGGGTATTCTGGATAAAATTATTTGCAAATAATGATAACTGAGATTTATACCTTATTTCTTATTCTTTAGTTATTGGATTGGTAAAACCTCTAGAACAGGGGTGGGGGACCTTTTTTCTACCAAGGGCCATTATTAACTTAAAAATTAGCCTGTTATATTCAGTCAAGCTAATTTGGTGAGTTGTGTGATGCTAGCTGGTATTTATTTCATGGGCCTTATGCGGCCCATGGGCCAGGTGTTCCCCATCCTCTCTCTAGAACAACGTTGACTAGTACCAGTGATAGCTGGCGTGCTCGTCTTGTTCCTGACATTAACGTGACTATTTCCAGTTTTTTACTATGTCACTTATTGATTTCTGATAATTACCTTTCATAAAGTGAAGGAAATTTTCTTCAATTCCAAATCACAAGAGATTATTTTCTGAATAGGACTGGGTCCCAATTTTCAAGTAGGTTTTCAGCATCCATCAAAATATTAATAAAAATCATTATCAATTTATCTGTTAGGACAATCAATTACATTAATAATTTCCTAATGATCAAGTATTTGCATTTCTTGAATAGAAACCTATTTGGTCCTGGTAGTCTTTTAATATATTGCTGGATTTGGTTTTCTAATAGTTTATTCAATGATATTTTGCATCTATAGCAATAAAGATATATAGAAATGGGTTTATTGTTTTCTTTGTATGTACTTTTTTTTTTTTTTTTTAAATAACATGTCCTACTTTTTTGGGAATTTACTGTGATTTTCTTGTGGTCTAGTGTAAGCTCACTTTTTATAAATGTTCCATAGGCATATTTATTAGATTAGACTTGTAATGGTTATTATTCAGATATTCTATAGCTTCATCTGTAATTTGTCTGCTCAACCTATCAATTTCTCTAAGAGGATTTTTAAAAACTCTTGCATGTTTAACATTTATTTATGTGTATTATTTTGTCACACTCTTGTATTCCTAAAGCTTTTGATTTGTGTATTTCAGAGTTCCTTTGTTTTATGTCTAAGGATTCATAACCACTAAATCTACTTAAAATGTTTTGCTTTTTATCACTATTCACTCAATCAAGGAATATTCACTGTGCCTCTACTATTACCAAGCGCTCCTCCAGGCTTCCGGGACTCAGCGGTGAACCAAGCTGATAAAAGTCCCAGCCTCACGAAGCAGGTGTTCCGGCAGGAAGCAGGGTAGTTAGGACATCGCCTCTTCTCATAGCCACAGAAAGGGGTCCCGTGGAGCTTCCAGCCGGAGGGAGGTGACACCGCGGGAGCAGGCAGCTCCGCCTCATCACTCAAATAAACACGACAACTTCTCTCCTGCTCTCTACAGGCTCAGTTCGCATGCCCACACTGGCCCTTTCTCGCTTCCGGGGGAGGTTCTGAGAGCTGCGGTTTCTCCAAAGGCAGCCAGAGAGGCAGGAGAGTTCAGTTGTCTGCAAACGGAGCTGTTCACTCTGAGGAGACAGCGTGCAGTCCTCAGTTGTCCTGGGGGAAGTGGTCAGCTTGTCACCCTGGAGGGCCTGCCCCACCCTGTCCCTCCTGATGACCATGGATTGTGTTGGTGGCAGTAGCAGGCTGTGACAGACAATTGTCACCACATGGGGTACACTGTTGGTGCCTCGATGCCCACAGCCTTTTCTCTCAGAGCCAGGGTTTCCGGTCTTTCTGAATGGAGGACCCACCCTGCTAGAGGCTGGGGTCCACACACGGTGATTTAGAGGACAGCCCGGCGCTGGCATGGGGAGAAGAAAGCAGAGATGTCTTTATTGTCATGAAATGACTTCCTAGGCCTGGTTTTCCAGGAACAGGAAATGTTTCTCAGTCAGAAGAGTGAACATATTCTGGGAGGAGATGTCACAGCATCTCGAGGATGATGCAAGCTACTAGTTGAGAGGAAAATGTGCCCACGCTCAGAGTCAGCAGCTCAGAGTATCCTCGGCTAACACGTGCTTCCCATACACTGTACCCAGCTGTGTGCCTGGGCTCTGGCTCAGTCCCCAGCACCCCTGCACCTCGCCTACCAGAAAGACCTTCTCCTTTTGTATTGTTCTCACTTGTAAGTGGCTCTACCTCTATCAGCTGCTGGCAATTCCTGCAGCCCAAGGCCAACCGACTCCAGGCACCCCCACTGTCAACGAAAGCCCCAGGCCCCAGGGAAAATCACAGAAGAGTAAGGAGGTCTGACTTGTTCTTGGGAAGGTTGGTTTAGGATAGAAAAGGGACCTGTCATCTGGGTCTCAAGGAGTCCTCTTCCTACAGGACAAGGGCCCATGGGGCGGGCTATTCACAACACAGATGTGCCTCTTA